CTCCGCAGGGGCGGTGTCTGCAGGGCTCTGCCAAGAGCAGCTCTGGCAGAGCACAACCCGCGTTCCCCATCCCCTTGTGCTGCTGGAAGGGGAGGAAGTACAGAAGTTGGGATTAAAGTTGAGCCTGGGGAGAAGGGAAGGGTGGGGGAAGATAAGATTTAGTTTGTTTAGGTGTTTTTAAGATTTAGTTTTATTTCTCATAAATTTCTACTCTGTACTGGTAAGAAATTAAATCAGTTTTCCCAAGTAGAGTCTGTTTTGCCCATGATGGTAAATGCTGAGTGAACTCCCTGCCCTTATCTTGACCCACGAGCCTTTCGTGATATTTTCTTTCCCCTGTCCAGCTGAGGAGGGGGAGTGACAGAGCAGCTTTAGTGGGCACCTGGCATCCAGTCATGATCAACCCACCACAGCTGACTAAAATTCATTTCAAAAGAGAAATGAGGGAGGAAAAAAATTCCCCAATTTCCCCTGTTAAGTTTTAAAATCCCATTTCCTTTAGTGATCTGTAAATTTTGTTCCTTAATTTCACAGTCTGTAGCCAGCCACAGTGCTAAGCTCTGACTGTGTTACATAGCTTGTGTGACTGCCGTGATTACAATAAACTGGTAAAAATTGCAGTCCTCTCTCCTTTATTTCATGGGGATGCACTGAAAACCCAGAAGCTCCTGAGAATGACTCACAACTTAAAGTTTGTTTTACTGAACTGAACAAACCTTAGCAGTGTGGCCAAACAAATAAACGGGAAAGTTTAGGGCAGATCTGAATGTAAAGAGGACAAATTATGCAGGCTGTTCCAGGCTCCACTAGCAACATGGGGAAATACTAGCTGCAGGTTTTTTTGACCACAAAAGACACCATAGACTCAAGAGAGAATGAAGAAACATGGCATAGAAATTAAAGGGTGGGTGGGAGGTAAGGGGAGAACAGCAAGTATGAATTTCCCTAAGTAAAGCAGAAAATGTTCCTGTGGGGATCAACTCCAAAAAAATCTGCAGTGGTTAGGCTGCCAAACTTTAATAAATTGCAACTTGTGGTGTAAACAATTCTGTTAAAGGGCTTTGCACCAATGAGTGGACGCTATGAATAGTGGAAAGACTTAAAACTTTTTTTTCTTTTCAGAACTGCTCACTGAGTTTAGATGCTGCTGTGTCCAAGAACCAAGCTTCAGAAACGTAAGAGCCGTCATTCAGAGAGGCTGATAATCAACAGCTCTGATTGAAGATGATGGATGTCTTGATAAAGCAATTATCCCAAACACAGAACCTAACCTGGAAGGAGTTGCTTCTCCACTATCTTAGGTTTTGGGTAGCCATTTATAACAGCAGAGTAGGAATTGCTTTTGGTAGTGTTTTACAGACACATAGGGGATGCAAATACATGGAAATGAAGGGTTTGGGGAGCACAAACCCTGTAACACATATAACATTTCACAGAACTATTGCTTATCAAATTTGGACCAAGTTGGGTCCCTTTCTGTAGGAGGAGTCTTAATTTTGGGCTGTCCAGTCAGAAGCACCTTAGGGTTGCTTTTCAGAGGATTTAAATTTTGACTCAAATGTTCAGGATAATTTACGTGTTTTTTGACAAAAGAGCTGTCTCAGGAGCTTGCCAATGGCCAGTCATTAGAACTGTAATTCCCAATTTCTGCAGTTGAGCTAATACAACAGAGCAAGTTTAGAAAAACCCATTTTGGTATTTCTTTTTCCTTACCCAGAAGTTTTCTATGGTCTGGTTTGGTATACAGCTTCTAAATGTATTATATATGCACAACTTTGAAGGTAACAAACTGAAGTAGCCAGAGCAAGGAGCACAGAGAGGGATTTCATAATTGTCCTTACCTCTGAAGAGAATGTGATGTGTCACTGTGACAGCTATACACAGCCTGACACGCAGTTCTGCATAGCCTGTTGCTTGGTGCAAATCTTGAGGATTTCCTCTTCTCTGCCACCACCATCACCACTCACCACCCAATGGCTGTGCTGCCACAGCTGTCTGTAACTCTGTGCTGGGGATCGAACCAATGCTGGGATTAAAAGCCAGGGCTGTTTTTAGCAACACATTTTTTTAACCAATATCAGTTCATTTTTCCAGTTTACTGTGTGTCCTTACATACTGTTGTGCTGACACAGCTGCTGAAAATGTACCTTTTTTGGTGGCAAGACAGGATATGGGAATTCCTACTGTTTATGCTGGCTTGCCACCAAAAATGGAGGGGTGTATGTGAAACCATCCCCCCAGCTCCCCTGAAAGCTAGGCCAGTTACTGAAATCTTGGCAATTAAAAAGAGAGGTTATTTCTGAGTCTCGGGGAATGTCTGATACCTATAGTTAGTGTGCTGCTTCACTCTGTTGTTCTCATCTTGCTTGGAGAACAGAACATTTTCTTGACATGTTTGAAAAGTAACTTGAAGCACTGCAGTTATTCAGCTGTAAGTTGTATTTGATGTACGTCCAAAACTGTATTTTTCAAGTGAGTTTCAGTGAATGCAGTAATAGTAGAAATCTTTCAATGGGCTTCTTGTTTAGTGAAATAAAATGAACAGTTGTTTATCGCTGTGTAGAGTGCTTGGTATCCAGCCAATAATAACTTAGTAGTTAGTAAGAATTCTGCTAAAACATACATACCCATCTTGCTTTCTTTTCTTGAGTTCCTGCTTTCTTCCATGCAAGAAAGGTTTCCAGTGGTCTTAACGGCCACTTGCAAGGCAATTCCAGAAAGATATAAAACCTCATTCACCCTTTCCTCAGTTTTTCCTTGTATATCCTTGCTTTATTCCCTAGACCACCTTAGATAATGCCTTTTTTTAAGCTTGGATTTAAGGCTGTAAAAAGCTATGAAGCAATAGTGTAAGTACTTGTGTGATGAAGATTTTTTATGCGGTTTTTCCTCAGGCCTTTCCCCCTCATCCAACCAGTATATACATGATGAATGATCTCGCTTTGATCAAGCTTCTACATGCATTGCCACTGCAAGTTCTGCTTTGTATAGTTATGTTCAGGCATCTGGATTCCACATGCTAATTTCTTTAGTTTTTTATCTAGTGTGTTCCTTTGCATAAATGACAAACTGAAAGAAAACAGTAGAAAAAGACCTTGTATTGTATCTTAAAATATCATTCATGGAGATCTTGAGTTCTTAAAACTCCTTCAAAGTTCATGGAAGTTGCAGCTGCTCAGCATTGCTCAGGGTTAGATATTTGGTTTCCTGTTCTTCACATTAATACTTCTATTCAATCAAAAGCAGGTGCCATATTCTTATTTGTAAATGTATTTTTCTTACCTGGATAAGGAATTTGGGTTAAATTCATTAAAATAGTTATCTGTGACCATGACATACTAGTGGTGGGTAAAACAAGCTCGTCTTTCCAGCTGAAAGAAGGTTTGAATGGAATTCTGTGCATTATCATGCTAAACGATGGATTTGATGGGAAACAACAGGGCAAACTCTGATCTCAGTTATGCTGCTGTAAATCCAGTAATTCCATTTATTTTGGTGGAAATTTTTTTGTGTCTGTAACAGTTTAATTAAGAGCAGACTTTGGTGCTGAGATGATAATCCTGTTCTTGGACCAGGAGCAACATAAAGTCAGCACAGTTATACAGGTCTAAAAGAGTGCTAATGGGGAGTTAGTTACAAGGCAATTATTACTGCCAGGAATTCCTAATGCTTAAAGCAGGAGATAAGTCACTTCTTTCAAAATAGCTTCAACCCAGCCCTCAGTAGCGTTGAGAAGGCATGGGCATGGTGATTATACATTCCATTCTTGTGTGTGTATGGTCTGTAAGAGCTTGGGATTTGTACTGATGCAAACTTCAATCACATGAGGTTACTTTTTTTGAAAGGGTATTTATGTGCAGAATGATGCAGATAGATACTGAGTGCAGTAAAATCTGAGGTGCTTGACATCTCACTGGCTTTCGAATCTCAGTGCCCATGAGAATCCACAGTCAGAAGCAGTTTGTGCTCCTGGATGGGTTGTAACATGCCAAACTGAGCCACAGCTTTTCACTCCACAGCTCCTGAAGGAGCACAAAACATACTGCTTCTTTCTTTGGGTTTATGTTTTAAACAGCCTAGTTAATGGTTTTGCCAGGTTGAGCCATACATAGCTAATTACATCAGTGCTAATTTTCTATTTCTTTTGCCTCAGAGCATCACTATCAAGTGACTCAGACTCATATTGTCCTAACAGGATAATTAAATATTGGTGTCACTTGGTTGCTAAAATCCAGTTCATGATGATTAAGGCTGTATGTGGACAGCAGGACTTCGGAATGTGTCCTGGTGCCTGTCTCAGCCCAGTCACAACTTCAAGACCTGAGTGCCTACTACTCTCCTCCCTCCTTTTTGCCAGTGTCCTTTCTCCTGTGAAAGGAAATACACTCCATACATGTCCCTGATTGGGGCCACTGGGGAGCCCACAGCTGCGGGCACACAGTGATCCACGGTTACTGTACTTTTTAGCCATGAACCTTCCCCAGGGCAACACGGTTTCCTCATTTGCTTTAGCCATTACCAAAAAGCCTGTCATTTAATATGGTCTAATCTAATCTTACTGTATGTTAGGGAGTTTATATATGTGCATGTCAATAACCATTACATTAACAAGAGAGCTGTCCCTATGTATGGCCATGTTGCCTTAATAGAAACTGTTCTTTCATTTTCGGATGCTGTTGTGACAGCATTCTTGTTAAGCTGTTTGCTTTTGATAGCTAGAAAGATGCATCTCTGT